ATATATATATAACTTTTTTTTTTTCATTATGACATTGTTTTCATTACACATTTCCCCCCAAATTTTTTATTATTAACATTATTTTGTAATTCTAGATGTTCTCAATGGTTACTCCAATGAGATTAAAAATGAATACGGTACTAAAATGATTTTTATTTTAAATGGCTTAATAAAACCAAAACAACCACAGTTACCATAATGTTTAAACACCTGACAGTTTTATTTACAGTAATATTTCTTATTTTTTATTCTTGTGATTTTTAGAATGAAGTACAATACTTTTTTAGAAAGAAGATACAGAATTGTTCGTTCAATACCAAAAAGTATAGATAAAAATGATTTGAGTTCATTAAAAATAGACTAATTTTCTCAAATATTTTATGCTCATTAGGCTACAATATATGTGTGCAAAAAATTATATATATGCATATAATTGTCATAATGTTTAATATTTTACGGTTTTATTTTGAATAATATTTCTTATTTTTTTCTTGTGATTTTTTAAAATAAAGTATGACCTAGACAAAATGCGAAAAATTTAGATTAAACATATTGTTCATTCCATTCATACCAAAAAGTATAAATAAATATAGTTTTGAGTTAATTAAAAACAGATTGTTTGTCTCAAATATGTGACCCTGGAGCACAAAAGCAGTCTTATGTCGCTGGGGTATATTTGTAGCAATAGCCAACAATACATTGTATGGGTCAAAATTATAGATTTTTCTTTTATGCCAAAAATCATTAGGATATTAAGTAAAGATCATGTTCCATGAAGATATTTTGTACATTTCCTACCATAAATATATCAAAACTTAATTTTTGATTAGTAATATGCATTGCTAAGAACTTCATTTGGACAACTTTAAAGATGATTTTCTCAATATTTTGATTTTTTTGCACCCTCAGATTCCAGATTTTCAAATAGTTGTATCTCGAACAAATATTGTCCGATCCTAACAAACCATACATCAATGGAAAGATTATTTATTCAGCTTTCATATGATGTATAAATCTCAATTTCGAAAAAATTGACCCTTATGACTGGTTTTGTGGTCCAGGGTCACATATTTGTGTGTGCTGTGTATTTTTATGCTTATTAGACTGTCACATGATTAAATTAGAAACATGTTAACTGCAAACTCTATTGAAAGTGAAGTCAGTTTTCATAATAATCTGTCTCTCTGTATTGACGTGTGTGTGTCAGATATACGGTGGCATGTGGGCGAAGCTGCAGCGCGCCGTGGCCATATGGAGCGGCTTTGGCATGACGCTCACCGGAGTGCAGACGTGTGGAGATTACATGTTCAGCGGACACACCGTCGTTCTCACCATGCTCAACTTCTTCGTCACTGAATGTAAGTTCACACACATTGGTTCCTGCTGTTTTCTGTGTGGAGCGTGGCGTTTGAGATCCTCCCTCCGTCTGCAGACACGCCGCGCAGCTGGAACTTCATCCACACGCTCTCCTGGGTCCTCAACCTGTTCGGCATCTTCTTCATCCTGGCAGCACACGAGCACTACTCCATCGACGTCTTCATCGCCTTCTACATCACCACCAGACTCTTCCTGTACTACCACACGCTGGCTAACACTCGCGCCTACCAGCAGAGCCGCCGCGCACGCATCTGGTTCCCCATGTTCTCCTTCTTCGAGTGCAATGTTAACGGACCTGTTCCAAACGAGTACTGCTGGCCATTCGCTCGCCCCGGCTTCCTCAGACGCCTCATCGGCTGATTCTCCACAGACGCTGCTGATTCTTGTGTTGCCATGATGAAGAGGAGGCCAAAACCTCTCGATCAACACACTCTTACACACACACACACACACTCACACGCGCACACTCACACGCAAACGCGCGCACCTCGCCCCGGCTCAGACGCCTCATCGGCTGATTCTCCACAGACGCTGCTGATTCTTGTGTTGCCATGATGAAGAGGAGGCCAAAACCTCTCGATCAACACACTCTTACACACACACACTCACACGCGCACACTCACACGCACGCAAACACACACACGCATGCACACGCACAC